TGGGGCCTCTCCACGCAGTACATGCCAACCCCAAGCAAGCAAAACTCGTGAGATTAGGAAGCAGTTGCGGTGCCTTTTCATTTGCTTTCCCGTGGCTGGCAATGCATTCAATGATTCAGTCCCGTTCCCACCTTCCCCTTAGCAGCCAGGAGGGCAGAACCTCCCCTAATGCCCTTCCCCTGCCTCCAGGAGCTGGGGCTTTAAGAGCCGCCGCACCCAACAGTGCGGACGCGCCACGCACCGAGGTCATTGCATCAGGGGTAGAGGGCGGGGCTGAGCCACTGCCCAAGACCGAGATGGCGCCTATTAGCGTCAATGAGAACTACCGGGGCCCACGATTGCCCACAATCAAGATGGCGCCGGTAGCACTTCCGGCCCGGCACTTCCGGATGGGCGGTTGCCTGCTGCCCCACCCCATCCCCTGCTGTCGTTTCCCGGCGTGCTTTGCACGGGGTGGCCGGCGGGGCGGGGCCCAGCCAAAGGATCCAAAATGGCTGACTTCGAGGATCGGGTGTCGGACGAGGAGAAGGTAGGGGCAGGGTTTCTTGCCTCCCCCGAGCTTACCGCGTAGCGCCCCCCCGCTGTCCCCATCCCCTAGGCGGACAGGGTCTCGGCCCCGCGCTACGGCAGGAGGAGACCCCCAAGCAGCCCCCTGCCCCTATAGCGAGGGAGAAACTTCTCCCAGTACCCCCCACGTCCAGGGAAGAGACCCCCTGACACTATTCCCCTATCCCGAGGGGAGAGACCCCCTCCAATACCCCCACATCCCTCAATAGCGAGGGACGAGACACCCCCAATATCCCCCTCTGCTGCCCTCCCATAGAGAGGGCAAAGACCTCGCCGCCCCCCCCTCCCTCCCTCCCTCCACACACACATCATCTCCCTGGTGCCCCATAGAGGAGAGGCAAGGACCTATGTGAACTGTTCCACTGCGGGTTCTCTTCCCTATAGGGTATCATCTTGCCTCCAAAAAGGAAGATAGTCACACCCCCATGAGAGGGTGAAAACCCCTTATACTAATTTTGACTCGGTATGGCACGTGCACACACCCCCTATAACTATATCCCCTTCCTGATAGAATTCTTCCTCCTCCTCCTTGCTCATTTCAGAGGAGAAGGCACGTAGGGGGTGGTAGTTCCTCCTTCCTCTTTTAGTATGTCCTTTTTGTGTGTCTAATAGTGGGGGGGGAATGGTGGTCTCTTTCTCCACATATTACTTCACAGACATGGGATGAGAATTGCTGTGGGAATAACACAGTTAGTCTGGACTGTTTCCAGTTGCCACTGGGAGGAAGACCTAGACAGTCACTAGTGGAGAGCCAGGAGAGGAGCAGTCAGTTCCTTGTGATGATTGTTTGCTTTTAAGGTTTTTGTGCAAATGCTCTTTCAAGTATCTTTTTCAGTGACTGGGGGGGACTGTAAATGTCCATTTTCTTGTTGATGTCTTGTCCTTTTCTAGTAAGTCTCAACTCCTGCACCACTGCTGAATGTACCAACCTCAGATTGGAAGTCAGCAGTTAGCTAGCACACAAGTTGGAGGAAGACTTGTGACAAGCCTCATCTCCTATGAAAAGTCATTGGACTATTTAGTGTCAACACAGCAGACAGGGCCTCTCCTACAAAGCAAATACACTGATTACATCTATATTGTCAATCCTAACTAGTCTAAAACTTTCATTTTGCCTTTATCTTTAAGTTTAAGTTTTTCTAAATCCTCTTCTGATAGCCCCCTATGAAAAGAACAGAATGAAAATTCAGAACACTTAAGAAATTACAACCATAATTTAGCTGCATAACCTGAGAGTATATGGCTGTAGTCTGGGACATGTTCAGGAACATGAATTTGCCAGCACACTGTGTAGGCAGACAGAGCATGGCCTGCTTGCTACTACAGTGTATAAAAGACACTGTCTTGTTCTCATTTTTCTTTCTAGATCTGGTCAGTCAGGGTGTGTCAGTTCCTTAATCTGCTTCTGCTAGCAATAGGAGTTCTCATTGATTAAACTTTGGTTTCATATGCAAGAAGCGGCACAAAGGGTAGATACAAGAAAGATGGAATGAGATCACCAGATCTCTTCACAAACACACACACAAAATTTTGTTTTGGTGTTTTAAACTGCCATTGGGAAGGTTCATTTTACACTTTTTTTTTCTTCCCAGTAACTTTTCTTCATTTCCTCTCCACCACCCCCCTCCAATATTCTTTTGAAATTTTCTGACCAGCTTCAGCTCATAATAAGGATCTGCTTCATAGATTCATTTATGTACTACCCTGGCTTTCCTCTCACTTGGAAGCTAGAATTGCCTGCTGAATGTTGATACTAAAAATAGAGACCTACTTTACTTAACTAAACACTGGTATTTAAAATTCTGATATTTTGGTACTTTGCATTATTTATCTTCTCATAGCTTTGAATGCAAGTACTATGTTAGCCTATTTTATCCCATACTACTACTAAGACTTTCTTCTGAACAATTCTAAGGCTAATTTCTAACAGTTTTCTCCATTTACAAACAGCAGTTTTTAAGCTAAATACCCAATAAGTGATACCTGGTGTTTGTGATAATTCTGGCCTTCTGTTTCTGTGGCTTTCTTTAGTCCAGGCCTCTTCCTAAATCAATGAGGTTAGTGATCCTTTGCAACAAAAGAAAGGAACAAACTAGGCAAAGGAACAGAGGCCCCTATCTACAAAAAAAAATAATAAAAATTTAGGCTCTGCTGTGTTTTACAGAGCCCCCACTCAGCTGCTGTCTAACTGTGTAGGCACTTAAATTTTTGCTGTAAAAGTTTCTACAGTGCTTAAGTTTCAGCCTTTTGACACGTGCACCACTGTTTCATACCTAAGCCCAAGTGTGATCAAAAACCGAGTCAGGTGTTGCCCTGTCTATTGTGCTCACTAGATTGGGCCCTCTAAGCAAACTCAGAGCATGCTGAATTCTACACAAAATGAATGAAGGAGTGATCACCTCCTTTAATACCTTTAGCCCAGTGGTTAGGGTTTTCAGGTGGGATGATGAAATCCTGGTTCATTTACCCCACCTCTGCCTGATGAGAGAGGATTTGAACCAGGATTTCCCCTTATCAGGTGAGTGTCCTAATTACTGATTTATAGAGTCACTCATTCTGTCTGTGGGCTAATGAATGTTTAATTAGATATACAAAATGGGACAGCTTCAACAAGAGAAATTGAGAGAGACTTAAATCAGAATAACCCATAGTCCTTTATCAGAGGGGTAACCATGTTAGTCTGGATCTGTAAAAAGCGACAAAGAGTAGCCGTGTAGCCACAGGACCCATAGTCCTTTAGTTAGGGTAGTTTGCTCAATGTTGTATAGTATAAATTCTAACCATAAGGTTGTATATTTCCTTCTTTTGAGTAAATTCTATACCATTTTTAGCTAGTTATACTTTATAGTTCATTACTGAATTTCAGCTGAAGATTTTAACAAAATAAATTAAGCAATCTTTTACCCCTTTCAGTAGGTGTTTCCCCAATTTTAAAAATGTTGGAATCAGAAGGGAACTGAGACAGAGATTAAACGAGTTGCCTGTGGCATCACTGGGAATAGAACTCAGAGCTCATAGTCTTCTGTTCTAACCAATAGACAACCTTGCAATCACTTTGCTGACAAATCTAGGGCATTGTTTGTTTTGCATACACTCTCTTTTTAAATGCTTAGCTTTAACTGCTCTGACTTTAAAAAAAAAAAATCAGTGCACATCACTGAGAGACCAAGCAAAATGAACTAATCTGGTTTGTCACATCTATAAGTATCTATTCATTGTCCCTCATAGTCATAGGTAAATGTTGGATAATTGAAGCGTATGCTGCATATTCAAGACTTTTTGAATGTATATTGCTCTGGCTTCTTATGAATTCTGTGTACTGTCATCCTCTTTTTCTGCTTCCATTTAAAAAAAAATGGTGGTCAGGTGACTTCACTACTTGATGCTTTCCCCATTTTAGAAAGAGGAAGTTAGTTTCTGCTAGCACTCTGCAGAGATACCTGAAATGGTAATGATGAGCCAGGAAGTAGGTCAGTTTTGCAGAAATAGTGTTAGTTTCATACTTCTGCAGATGAACACGCTATCAGTGTGCTGACACCCAAAGGCGAAGAGACTCCAAAGTGACAACAGTGCGGAAGCTTGATTTATAGGATTAATTTCTTTACCACATACAAAGTCTGCTTCTTCCATTTCATGGGTAGACATTGCTGTTTTCAGTTGTGTAGAGTAATGATCTCCTCCATTTTTGTTTAATTGCTCCAGATCAAAGGGAGGGGAGGGAGAGGATAAAGTTACACTTTATAAAAATGATTACATGTCTTTGCAGTGTGTGTTTTGCTCATGGCTGCTGTTTTAATGGCACTTGTCCTAAATGTAGATTTGTCAATCACTGTCTTGTCTATTTAACTTCACCAATCCTACTAAAGTGGGAGAAGTTACTTACAGATTGAAGTGTACGCAGGAGTTGTGGTTTATTCAGGGTTTGAGTCCTGGACTTAGCCTTTTAGGAAGCAAACTATTTTAGGTGCAGGGCAGAATTTGGGTCTAAGGTGGGATATAATACCAAAAGAGAGGTGGTTATGTCTTCCTAACGATAATAAGGCCCCACTTTATCAGGGCCCCAAGTACAATGCAGTTGTGCAGCTGCATTAATGACCAGCCACATCATTTATCTAATTACCAAGATGTTACATAAATATAGGCACTGCATAATTATTTTTAATGGCCTTTTATCCAGCTGCCATTTTAGGAGCTCAGTTGGAAGAGTGACTGTGTCCAGTTGGGGAACTGGAGTAGGGGGACTGTATCCCCTGCCTTGATCCTTCCAATTGAAATGGATCTTGGCATCAGTTAGATGAAGTTGTGTGTGTACTCTGAGTACAGCAGTTGTAGTAATGCTTTAACATTTCCAGAGTGACATGTCTTATGTTTATGCTTATGCTTGTACTTTCTAAGAAAAGCTCACACACATCAGCCATGTAGGGTAGGACTCACAGTAAAGTCCACAGGGCAAACTGTGGAACAGCAATGTCCATATTAGTTACTATCCAGTAATCCTGATCACAGTTGAGGATAGTCTAACGCTTTCTGTTACACATTTTCAGAAGTTATATGGATATTAGGTACTCTAACTAGAATGAGAGTTATTTAGCTAGTGGAATTTATTAAGCAATGGAAAAAACACATTTTAGCAATTCTAAATGTCTGGCATGTTTCAGCAAAAAGCAGAAGGAAACTAAGGGCTTGTCTGCACTGGCACTTTACAGGGCTGCAACTTTCTTGCTCGGGGGTGTGAAAAAACACCCCCCTGAGCGCAGCAAGTTTCAGCGCTGTAAAGTGCCAGTGTAGACAGTGCACCAGCGCTGGGAGCTACGCCCCTCGTGGAGGTGGGTTTTTATAAGCTGGTGCCGCAACTACACAGCCACGTTAAAGCACGGCCGCGGCAGCATTTTAACGTTGCTAGCGAAGACATGCCCCCAGACTGAAAAGGTGGGCAAACATTCCATCCCGCTTCATGCCCGTGTTTATGCCTTTTTATTCTTTTGTCAGTTGCACTCAAACATAATTTTTAAAATAAATAAGTATAAATAATTTTTGCTTTTCAAGTATCTGTGATACTGGCACCTTGCTCAGGCTCAGTCCAGCTAAGATGGAGGTGATGCTGGTAGGATGGGAAAGCACCCAGAAAGCATGGCAATGCCTCCTCTGTCAGTGAAATATTTTAAATCCCTTTGAAGGATGTGGAATTACAAGCTAGACGCCAGAAAAATGTTTTTAAAGGGGGTTGGCCTCTCAACTCTGCTCCTGCAGATTAATTAATTGGATGATTAATTTGATATTTGTACTACTCTGGTTTGTTATTCAAAATGGCCTTTACAGGACAAATTTAAAACAATACTTGCTGCATCAGCTGAAGACAATGAATGTAATGCCTTACCCAGCAAGAAAGCCTTAGCCAACTTCTGCCATAATCGAAAGCTATGAATAACTGTAAAACTAAGTGGAAAAAAGTGGTATGTTTTATATATAAGCCTCAAAGGGAGCAGTGTAATTGTGTGGCTGAGTCTATTTGCCTCCAGAGTCCTGTCCAGTAACATTATATTCCCTCAGGTACTGTGCAAACCATAAAGCCTAGCTTGGAATTAGGGAACCTGTTGTTTAGACTGAAACAAATTTGCCTTAGTACCAAAGCCATGTGAATTCAAATGATACAACACGCTAGCATTTAATACATTTTAGAACTCACTGGTGGTTTTGATTTTCCTTTCCCACTTCAGAGTTCAGGAAATCTCAGGTATTACTTTCTTCTGACATCAGCCTGCTCAGATCTTTATCATAGTGCTTCTGATTCCAGGTGCCTTAATTTTTTCACTAGATTGTGAAGCTTAATGATAGGCCCACAGTACAACTATCAGTGAAATATACAGTTCTAGACAAATGAATTAACAATGTGTCACAGAATGGCACCAAGTCCCTTTATTGACACATGCCAGAAATGGTTCCACATTCTATGTGGAATTGTTTTCAGGTTTTTCCTTAACCAGAGACTCCAAATGAACAGTAATTCCAGAAGAGAGAATAACGTGGCATTACTAATGATCAGGGAGCTTAGCTTTCCGTGATTGAAGAAAAAAAAATTATCCGATTAAAAAAACCTCACAAAAATCCATGTTTTTCCATGGTTAAAATGAAACACTGAACTAGTTCCCTAGCCACAATATATATAGGTATCAATGTTTTAGTGATATACAGTAGAACGCCATTTATCCGAGCCTCCATTATCTGGCTTTCCTTATTAACCGAACCACCAGCTGCCCAGGGACTGACCGCCCACGCCCCAGCCACCAGGGGCTGACCGCAAGAGCTATCAGCATTGGGCAGCTGGTGGTTCGGTTAATACGGAGAGCTGGATTATGGAGGCTCGGATAAACGGGGTTTTACTGTATACATTTTTATTTTTTCACAAAAGTTTCACTGTAAAAATGCAAATTCCACATTTTTCCATGGCAAATGGATTGCTAGGATCCCTGATAATGATAAACCATGGTGCCCAGTAGTGAATCCCTAGTCAACTCCGTGCAAACTCAGCAACTAATTGATAGGCTTAGATGAGCTTAAATAGAAATTTTCTCCCTTGTTTCCAAATAGGAGGGCTTAGGTCTAAAAGTTTCCTGACCATATTCACTCCATGGTCTTCTTGCACAGGTCATATTGTGTGGATGAAAGCTAGAGATGTACCTGTGTAATCGAAGTAGTATACATACACGATATCCTGAATGTTGAAGAGGTGTTCGATGCATGCAGCAGTAATAATGTTGGCTTAGGGTTTGCTGCTTTGTATACCCAAAGGTTTTGTGGCTGCTTTTATTTAAGTATTTTTAGATGCTTTAGCTCCAGTAAAAAGGTTTAACTGTGGCTCCTTTTTTCTAGACTGTGGCTCCAGCTCTCTAGATTGCAAGAACAAGAGGGTCCTGATCAGACTGCCACAGTAGCTAAACAGGTCAAAAACTTAGAGATAAGTGCCCGGCCTCACTGCTGACTAACTCTCTGATCCTTCCAATGTTTGTGAAAAGCCTTAAGGCCATGGGTTGTATCACTGATCTGCTTAATCAGGCCTAGACCGTGGCTACACTCAAAACTTCAAAGCGCTGCCGCGGGAGCGCTCCTGCGGCAGTGCTTTGAAGTGCGACTGTGGTCATGCGCCAGCACTGGGAGAGAGCTCTCCCAGCACTGCAGGTACTCCACCTCCACGAGGGGATTAGCTTACAGCGCTGGGAGCATGGCTCCCAGCACTGGGGCACTGTTTACACTGGCGCTTTACAGCGCTGTAACTTGCTGCACTCTGGGGGGTGTTTTTTCACACCCCTGAGCGAGAAAGTTGCAGCGCTGTAAAGCGCCAGTGTAGCCATAGCGCTAGTCTCTTTACAACATGCTCAGGAAATAATGTTTCAGTAGCTAGCTTGAGAATAACTTTGACCTCTGTGAGCTCTTCCCATTTTTTTTTCTACATTGTGGACACTTGTTTGCTCTGCAGGACATCCATCACAAAGCCAGGCAGTGTTGGGAGGAGGTGTGCTCCCAGCTCAGGGTGGTGGGATTCACCAGAATCGCACAACAGCAGATGCAAGAGAAATCATTTGCTGAAATCTGGAGGCTTGTTTCTGAGGCAGGGTCTCCCTCTGCTGACATCTCAATTTCATTTTGTAACTTTCCATCACTGTCCACTTTTGTATTTTGTACGTTTCCATCACTCCCTGCTTTCTCACTTTGTATCTTTACACTTTCTTCCATGCGTTCTTATAACTTCAATTACTTTCCCTTTGAAGCCTGTAAAGCATAACTAATTGTGTTTAAAGTAGGCAGGATTACATCTTTATGCAAATTTCTAGTCCCATGGTACTTGGTGGGGAGAGGGTATTTGTCTTCCTTCTTGGAAGGGATCTCCTCTCAGCTATCACATGCTGCTTGTTTCCTGGTGGTCAGTGGCATCTCCTCCTACCAGTCATCAGGAGCAATGCAATTACATCACAGGCAACCCTCCGCTCTCTCAGTGTATATTACACCTCTTAGCTACACAGTTATCAGGTAGGCTGTCATCTAGTAGCAGGACTTTGGTAACTCACTCTGTACGTAATTGACATATGGACCTCCAGGTAGTTCCAAGCAGTGAAACTCAGTGGTGTTTTGTTAGGTCACAAGAAGACTGTTAGATTTTTTTAAAAGGGAGAATGTTGGCTAATTGTGTGTGCACTTGTGCAGGCTGAGCAGTTTGGTGTCTAAGGTGATGTTTGTGATCAAAAAGGGTGTTTCCAAAGCAAAGTCCACGTTTTCAAGTGTTCACAAATTGTGGGTGACCATCTTGGGAGTCCTAGAGATTGATTTGTCAGAGGTGTTGAGCATCTGCAGCTTCCATTGACTTCAGTTAGAGTTGTGGGTGCTCAGATACTCTGAAAAATCGGGCCCAAAGTCTTAAGTTGGGTCCCCAGAACTGGAAGCGCACAATTTCATTACACACACACACACACACGCGCGCACTATTTCCATTGATCATCAACATTTACAGATGGGCAAAGTAAGAAAAATGCTATTTGGGAATGTTAGTTTGATTTAAGGGTATTTACCGTGTATTTTGGCATATGATATTGACAGTTTGTATTTTAACTGTTAGAAAGCTTTAACTTTGACTTTCAACATCTGTCACTAAATAATAATTGCCTGACCCCCTCATAATTTCCTACAGTTGTGAAAATCTAAATTTATGACCATCAAAATGAATGCATATAACCTATAATTTTGTGCAACTGTGAAAATTTACTGGGATAAAAATTTTAAAAATACTTAAACATAAACATCAATATTATCCATTGAAATTATTAAAAAAAAAATCAGATTCTGTCAAGCTTAACTAAAGGACGCTTTTGAAAATTTGTGCCTAAATCTGTCCATAAATAGTAGCACTATCTATAACTGTAACACTCCGTTCTGCTAGTGAGCTATGTTGGTGTAAATATGTTGCAGTTTGTTGGTACCAAAACAAAAAACATGCACTGTTTAGTCTAATGACTATTTTGCTTTACTGCAGGTGCGGATAGCTGCAAAATTCATCACTCATGCACCACCAGGAGAATTTAATGAAGTGTTTAATGGTGAGTAAATAACAGAAAATCAAATAGTTCATAGGATTTTCCAGGTTTCAGCTATTATCAGAAAGAAAATATTTAAGGTACCTCACAAAATATGGTTGGCAGAGGGGCTATACTTTTTAAGGCCAAGATTTTTCAGAAGTGGCTAATGATTTTACATACCGCCTTATGACATCTGACAAGAGGCTGGAGCACTTTCTGAAAATCAGACCCTGTTAAAGTGTCCCAACTTAAACACCTCAAAATTGAGGCACCCAAATCAGCCATTTTTGGAGTCACGGCCTAGGATCCTAGGTTAACGTAAATCTTTTTGTGATCTTTGTTTATGTGTGCATGTCACGTGGATGTTGTTCTATTGTGTTTCCTTAGTACCTTTCAGGCTTGATCTGAACTGTTTGAAGCCATTTATATGAATGCAAAATCCTTTGTCTGGATGCCATTTCACCTTGCTGCTTTGGTACAGCATTGACTTGATGGTATTGTGATGAATAGTAAATGTTCTAAACTGGCTTTTACCAGACAAATGTAAAGTCTAATTGTAAAGGGATATCATCAGGTACTCTGAAGTTTATGTTATGGAGACATAATAGTAACTAGCTTTCCATTTATGTAATATATTTTGGACTCCATCATCAGAAAACACCACAGGAGCCATTTTCACTGTTCAACAATGGTGTGACTGGAATTTTGTTAGAGCCAGAAGGGTTTTTGGTTTACTTTCATTCTACCATAACTCAAAAGTGGCTAAAGAAATGCTTTAACTTAATGATAAAAAAAAAAAAAAGTTGTTTTGAACAGTGACCAAGAAAGAAAATTACAGCCCCAAAGGTACATGTTTCAGAAAGCTGTGACTGTATGAAAATGGAGAGTATAATGGAAAATGTTTAATTCTTATTCTACTACTACTAATAATAATATTATGTAGAGTTTCATCAGTAGATCTCAAAGAACATTTTACAGATGGGGAGACTGAGGCATGGAGGTAAGTGGCTTGCCCAAGGTCTCACAGCAGGCCAATAGAAGAGCCAGGAATAGAATTCAGGTCTCCCAAGTTCCAGTCCAGTGCTCAATCCACTATAGTGATAGTTACTTGTAATGACAGTAGTATAGCCCCTCTGCCTAGCATGGTTATGCTCTACTAGCCTTTAATCAGAATCATCACACAGACAGCAAGGAGGGAAGAATTTAGTTCCATTATACAACCACACAGTGTTTAGTAAAATGATTTACAGCCACTGTAATGTGTTTGTTGAGCCTCTGCTTCCGTTTCAGTTTTAAGGTGCAAAGACAGACATTTGATAATCTGCCTGAACACTTTCTTTTCTCTAGATGTCCGGTTACTGCTTAACAATGACAATCTTCTCAGGGAAGGGGCAGCACAGTAAGTATTGTTTAAAACAGGTTTCAGAACATTTTAAGGAAGTGTGTAAGTGTGTGTTTTTTCAGTCTAATGACATAATGATGTGAACTGCGATCAATTGTAGTGTTGGTGGAGGGGGTGATGTACAGTAATTTCCCTCTCCCAACCAAAGCACCTGGAAAGGTGGAGGGTCATCTCCCAAAAGTCTAAACAGAACTACCTTTGTTATAATAGAATCTAAACAAATGAGGAGAGCCAACATATATATATATATATATTGTAACCTTTTAGCATCCTAAGGAATGATTCATCTTTGTTCAAACCATCAGAGGACTGGTACCTGTCATGCTATCTGGAGTGGTTCATGATCGTGAATGCCATCCTCAGGGCGGGCAGATATCAAGAAGCGGAGATAAGACCCCAACTAGTTGTATGTTCTATAATTAGCTTTCACCCACCCAGTAACAAGTGTGAACTCCTGAAGCACAAAAACAGTCATACCATGGAGTCACAGACAGTCCCCGTGGGCACGCCAGTCTGTCTTGTCCCCCAGGCAAGCTGGACAGAGGGCTTGGTACATGTACAGTGCTGCAGCTGTAGCGCTTTAGTGAAGACGTGGTAGCTATGTTGATGGGAGAAGCTCTCCTGTCAACCTAGCGCTGTCTACACCGGAGGCTAGGTTGGTATAACTACGTTGCTCAGGGTGTGGATTTTTCACACCCCTGAGCGACGTGGTTACACCGATGGGTGTTTGTAGGGTAGACCTGGCCTTAGTGATAGTTGGTTGCTCTATACCAAAGATCTCAAAATATTCATGTTGCTCCCATCACAGGAAACCAGTCATTTACCCCAGGTCAATTCATACCTTAGATATCACACTAAAAAATATTCCCAAGAGCACTGTCTATGAACGTATTAAACATGGACATTTTCTCTGTACTGGGATTTGTATTCATTAGTCCCTCAGTGAAAATATAAATAATAAAGATTGCACAGTTAAAGCTTACCTTTTTTCTTTTCAATTATTAACAGTGCATTTGCCCAGTATAACATGGATCAGTTCACTCCCGTGAAGATCGAAGGGTATGATGATCAGGTAAGACAAAGTTTTGCTGCCTGTCTTTGCAGGTTTTCAGATTGGTATCCATCACTGCAGGTATTACGATGTCCTTCCATAACGATCTGGATGGAAAGTTCTGGTTAGGTTGAAAATATGATCTGCTGATCACCTGACATTTTTCTTTGCACTCAGTACTTAGCAAACTTCTCTCCTTACAGAAAAGCCTCAGACTGAATGTTTCCTTGTGACCATGCTCTCTGTTACTAACTAAATGGGGCTAATGCCGTACTCCTTCCTTGGGCACAACTCCCTGCTAAAGCCAGTGGAAGTCTTGCCTGAGGCAGAGTGAGCAAAGAATGCTTTTCTTTTAGGGCTGTTTAGCAGCTCTCAGATGCTGCATACTCCCAGCTTCCATTGGTTTCAGTATCAGGCTCTTAAAAAATAGCATATGTTCTTTTTCCATTTCCATCTATACCAAACCCCTCCTTATCCAATTATTCCAAATATATTGGCTCTCCCATTATATCATTTCAGCCTTCCTGCATTCCCTTCTCCTCTAGAAAAACACAAACTAAAGAACTTCCCGTTTGCCTCCAAAAGATGGTCTGGGAATTTTTTTGCCTTTTGATACTTACAGACTGAAGTTTCACAAAGGGTACAATTAATTTCCGTTTTTCTGAGGAAGAAAGTGGGCCCTGTTGGAGACTGAAAGCAGGCTTGGCTGCCTCTGTTTTCTGAGCTCAATACTGATACAGGAACTGCATCCCAGTGTCCACTTGTGGCAGAGGGTTCGGTCAAGTGGTGCAGGCATGGGAAGTATAGCAGTACTAGGCTGCCGATAGAAGCAGATTTGACAGAAGCTGTACAACCTGTGAGAAAGAAGTTTGGCTCTTCTGCTTGGTCTGGCTCCTGAGATGACTGATCTCCCGGTGGGGCAGGGAATGCCCTGTTGTGCTGTTCAAGACCATTCACCTCAGCCTAAACCTGATACATAGTGAAGTAGCCACATCTACTCTTCCTCCTTGATCAGAGGAGGAGTTGCTGCAACATACAGGCTTATGGAAGGAAGAAGAGAGAGGAAAATGATGGAACCCTGAGGTACACCCACCCTTCCCTCTAGGAAGGAGAAAGAAATGGGGCTTGAGTTATCCTATTATAGTTTTACAGAAGCAGAATAATTGATGTTTGTATTTCGTAAAAGGATCCCAAAAGACGTTGTAAGCTTTCTATACACAACATCACTGAATGCAGCCATCTTTGGTGAGAGGGAAAGTTTGTCCAAGGACCTCACAGCAAACCCCAAATCATTAAGTGAACCATAGAATCATTAATGTCCTTGCAAAGGAGAGGGCTCTTCAGATCATAAGGTTTCATCTGAAACAAATAGCGCCTTGTGGTGAAATCTAGCAAACTTGCACTCAAGAGCCCCAGAAGAGCAAAGTGACATTTAAATCAGCATAAGGAAGCGCTTCGATCTTTCGCTTTATTTTTCAGGTCTTAATTACAGAACACGGCGACCTTGGCAATGGCAGATTTTTGGACCCAAGGAACAAACTTTCCTTTAAGTTTGATCATTTAAGGAAAGAAGCGAGTGATCCCCACCCTGAGGACACAGAAGCAGCTCTAAAGCCATGGAGAGATGCCTGTGACAGTGCGCTGAGGGCATATGTGAAAGATCACTATCCCAATGGCTTTTGTACTGTTAAGTACCTACCTTATTTCATTGATGGTTCTTTGCCCCATGTCTGTTAGCCCCACAGGGAGACTTTGTACTGTATTTTGGGCTCGCATGAGTGTCTGTCTTGTAGGTCCTAATTCTTGTACAGCAAAGACAGGAGGGTGCAGAGATTTTGTGTGCGCAGTCATATCGTGTAAACCAGTGGCAAAATGTTTAATTACCTCAATCACCTGTGGGTAAATATGCACGAATGCACCTTGCAGCCCTCTCCAGGGCTAAGCTGACCAGGAAAGGGAAGCAATGTGTGTGTGCATAGACAAGGTAGCTAATGGTGTATGTGCACTGTCTGCTCTCACTCAGTGCTGTGGTTTAGCAGGATATTGAAGCTCCATCTAGTGTTCCTGGATTAGGAACACAAAGCTGGTGGAATACACACTTGGCACTGTGATGCTTATTTTTCATTTCTGTATGAATTCAGGTTTACGGCAAGACTATAGATGGACAGCAGACAATCATTGCCTGTATTGAGAGCCACCAGTTTCAGCCCAAAAACTTCTGGTAAGAATATTTTCAAGTGTTCGTGCTGTTATGCTTAAACAAAGCACACAAGATCTTTTATAGGCGAGAAGGCAACACGCCACATTTATGGAGAATACAGCAGTTAGCATATGCTTTTACGTCACACACACACACACCATGCACACAGTCCCGCCAGTCGATGTTTATAATTACCAGTCCAGAGTCTGGATCAACCTAGTGGCCAGCCAGATTGGTTGCAGAGGGAGCCGGGCTCTGTCAGTCGCGATCCGATGCTCCTGGAGTAGTGGTAAGACTAACCCAAAGCCCCATGGCAAAGCACCCTGTTCTTATAGTCCTTTTTCTCCGTTGAAATCTATGGATTTTGCTGTGTCAGTTTATGACCGGTTACTCCTTAATTGGTGTTATCTTTTGATGTTAACATTCTAAAACACCTCCGAGAGGGTCATCCTGTCCCGGATTTGATTTACTCAGTTGTCTTTAGGGGTGCCAGCCTCAACCTCAGGGTCATCAATCTGCCCTTCCTCAATCATGGATGCGTGTTGATGGTTCTCTGGCGTCAATAAGTCTCGATAAGTGTCTTCGCTCCTCCTTTCTTGACCATCTGGTTAACAGTGGCCTTCACACCTTATCTTTTCCTGATGCATGCATTCCTCATTCACACAAACAGTCTTTTACAGAGACCTTTGAGAATACAAACAGCAGTTTTTTATATCGAGTGAAAAGACATTGTAAATTAAACCTTGCGAAATTTTATAACCAAAACAATTCACATTGAAGCCCAGACCTTCAGCGTACCTCTAATCTACTTAACACAGACACAATACAGGATCGTGTCTCTTACTAACTAAGCCTTAAAACAAAGAACTAAAAGGGCCCAATTTGTAATGTATATGGGAAACAGAATCCCATAGTCCCAGAGGGTCATTCCTTTCTGCTTTTCAAAAAGGGTGGCTGGCAGGATGAAATCAAATCATACATTAATTCTCATAGTACAATTATAAAATCCTGCTCCTACAGTGCTCCTGCCTTTTCTAGCCCTTTGAGCACGAGTTCTTCCTTTCCGTGCCTGCTTCCAAGCAGTAGGCTGATCCAGAACAGGTCCTCTGCTTCCGGTCTTGCCTACTTCCCGATAGCTTCTGCGTCTGGCGGATGAAATTGCTCTGAGAGAGGCCCCTGTGCTGCTCCATGAACCAGCCAGTGAAAGAGGCACTAGTGAAGCCAGGGAGCTGTAGCCCTCATTGTTTCAGAGCCCAAGCTGTACTGATGCATCATGGCCTTGAACTGCTCTGCACCAATGGACTGAGGTGCCAGGTGAGGCCTTTGAATGTGGTCACAGGGTGCTGGAAGACGAGCAGGGGCAGCATACGGGGCTCTTTCCCAGTCAGTTTGTGCTTTGGTTCTTTTTAGGAATGGCCGTTGGAGATCCGAGTGGAAATTTACCATCACGCCCCCTGCAGCTCAGGTGGTTGCAGTGCTGAAGATCCAGGTTAGTTACACTGCTCAGCAGCAGTCGCATCAGTTGCATCGCTGCTTCTCCAGGAGTTCTTATGGGTTTGACTCAGAAAAGAAATCCTTAGGGGTCCACAAAGATGCCATTTTAAACTAGGACACTTCATGACTGCTGACTTGTGCATCAGCTGTTTTAAAATACTAAAGAAATGTAATCCTTTGAAAGTTATAATAGCTAAAGTCTGGCCTGATGGTTTAGTGTTAGTGGATTGTATTACCATGTGCATCCAAGCTCTGCACTTCACTCCTGGTCCCTGCTAACCAGGAGTGAGCCTACAAGTTGTCCTGTGAACCCTTTATTGCCTGCTCTCATCCCAGCTGTAATGAGTGTTTACTACATTAGCATAATATTGAAAGGTCCTGGCTGAGAATAAAATCCCTTGGAAAATCCAGCCAGCCTTAGTCTCCACTGCAGGCTGAGAAAACTGTCACAACATTGTTGTGCGTTTCTCCTGGTCTTTGTCTGTGGACAACGCCTAGCATAATGGAGGTCTGGCTCGATTGGGGCCTCTAGGTATTACCACAATATAATGTTAATTATAAACCGGGCTTGTTCTTTCTTTGTGCAGGTTCATTACTATGAAGATGGCAACGTGCAGCTAGTTAGCCATAAAGATATCCAAGACTCTCTAACGGTTTCAGTGAGTATGGAGAATTTACAACATTTCAGCAGCTCTTTTGTGTTGGTTTATGTCCCCAAGGGCAGCTTTGCTCTCTAATATGACTCTACTCTTCATAGAATATCAGGGTTGGAAGGGACCTCAGGAGGTCATCTAGTCCAACCCCCTGCTCAAAACAGGACCAATCCCCAGACAGATTTTTGCCCCAGATCCCTAATGGCCCCCTCAAGGATTGAGCTCACAACCCTGGGTTTAGCAGGCCAATGCTCAAACCACTGAGCTATCACTTCCCCTCCCTTGTGTCACTTACTGTAAAGGCTTTTGATCAAATTATAGGCTGACCAATCAATGCAGCAGCAACACATGCAGTGGCCTGTGGGAAACCCAGCTTCTTACACTGCTTGTAGACTAAAGACTGTAGTGAGAGGCATGCTGCAGGGTGTTAGTTGTATGCTCTTCACATTTAGAGTAGGGGTCACGTATGCCATGGGGGAAACCAGTTGCCTTCTCTTCCCTGTGGGAGGAAAAGGGAGAATTTGAACCAAAATACAGCAGCATGTTTCTGAAAAATCTTGATCCTTCAGCACCAAGGCCAGGCAAATGTAGTTGCAACAAGTGCTTGGGTGTCCTCTCCCCGGTGCTGAAGAGAAGGTAACAGTCTTGTAATGACAATTAGGCCGGAAGGAAAAGGGGGGCAGTAGTGTCTGCTCACAAGTCTGTTCTGTATCAAGAACGCCCAGTTCGCTTTTGCTCACTAGAGGGCAGCCCTGTCTTTCACTTTGTACTGGATAGTGTGTTTAATGTCAGCTTCACTTACGTCTGTTCCCTGCTGAGCAGCAGCACAGTTGCTAATGGGTACTGGCCCGATGTAGGCCTGAAACTGTCAGCTTTGTCTTTCCCTAATCGCTGATGAGCTAAGTAGTTACAGAATTTCATTCTAGAAGGAAACCCATTTAATAAATTTTTATATTCAGCCTTTTGATTGAACTTGAAAGTAAATTTTGTTCCTCTTACTCTGTAGAATGATGTCCAAACAGCCAAGGAATTTATTAAAATCATAGAACATGCGGAAAATGAGTATCAGGTAAGAGAAGTTAGCAGGGATCCCTGTGATTCCATTAGGCTTGTTTACTTTCATGAATATTTTAAAAGATACTTCCCTCTATTTACAAACAATCAGAACATGAGAGATTAATGCTCTAGTTTTGTTCCACCCCTTGTCCTTTCTTCTCTGCCTTCTTTTTCTAGTTTCATAGTCAGTTTATCTGATTTTGATTGTAAATTCTTTGGAGCAGGGACAGTAGTTTATCTGTAAGCCACCAGGCACAGTTATGGGGCTATATAAGTGTTTAAAAACAAATGAAATAAAGTCAGCAATATGGCAAGTCCCTTTAAAGGATATTAACAAGAAAACCGGAGTGGGGCCTGGAAGGTGCAAAGTCACTAATTCCAATTCATGAGAAGATCACACTGCGTACAGCTGTTGGCAAGCTCAGCAGAAAGGCCAGGGAGCCTGAACTCTCCTCTCCACCTCCCTGTGACTAAGAGCCTTTGCTAAGGAAAGGTCTGCTACAGCTTCCCATGCAATGCTTGTTGTGTGTGTAAGAAGGGGCCTTTCCAGAAGGCCTTTTGCAAATAAATTCACTTGGGAAGGAGAAGGCAAGGGAGACTCTTTCTCAACATACACACACTCCCCCGCTAAGTTTGCTTTATCAGTTAGTTGGTAAGTAGCATGCCTGGCTTTAATACTGAGTAATGCGTTTTGAAAGCATCCATCCTCCTGCTGTAGTTTAGACAAACACTTTCAATGTGGTTGCTCTTGCAGACGGCAATCAGTGAAAACTATCAGACTATGTCCGACACCACGTTCAAAGCCTTGCGTCGGCAGCTGCCCGTCACTCGCACCAAGATTGACTGGAACAAAATCCTCAGCTACAAGATTGGAAAAGAAATGCAAAATGCTTAAGGCAGAACTGATGAGATTGATGAAATGGTAGCGTACAAAAAAACTAAATGTGGTCATATGCCAAGTAGGTGGTTTCCAAACCAGTGTGGCATTTTGCTAGGGCTTTCAAAGTTAACAAGTTTTCTTGCCTCAAGGAGAACTATTGAACAAATAGCATTGTCTTTGTGTTTTGTGTTCCCTACCATATAAACTTCCTGTTACTGCATTTACTAGGAGGTCATTTGAATTAAACCACATTCATAGTTCGATGATATAGCTCTGTTTGGGAGTCACTGTAATTACTGGTTGGAAAATTTCCTAGCCCTGAAAGCCCTTTTATAAATACAGGCAGGTGGTGGTGGGAGTATTTTCCCTGCACCCTTATACAGCACTGCAGGTACTTCAGTAAGTTTGTCTGATCTGGTAACAGCTCAAGCTGCTGCGCTGCAAACTGTAACAAATGCCAGAGAAGACGCATCTCCCACACATGCCTGCTGTCGATCTCTACATAGCAATGGGCCTATAGGCTTCGATTTTAATATCTGAAATGAGTTTACATGATCCCTTACAGAAATCTCAAGAAGGCCAGATTTTCTGTGTAAGTAATTTTTTTAAACCCAAAGATTCCATGTTCCCTCTAAGTGAACCTTTTTTTTTTTTTTTTTTT